CAAAAGGACATTTGTCATTTTTCCTCAGAAGTCAACTTTCACTCAGCTACCGTTGAGCAAAGGTCACAACCAATCCTGGCAGCACACTGTCAGAGCGAGGACAAAGCAGATCTACTAAGCTTTTCTTTCTCTGTTAGATACACTGAATAGCCAAGAGTTTGTGGACACTTGACCATCACACCTATATGAGCTTGTTGGACATCTCATCGCCAAAGTATGTACATTAATATGAAGTTTCCCCCCCTCCTCCTTCCTTTTGTAACAGCCTCCACAAGATTTTGGAATGTGTCTGGGAAAATGTGTGCCCATTTAGCCCAAAGGGCATTTGCAAGGTCAGGTATTAATGTTGGCCGAAAGGACCTGGCTCCTAAGTGGCCCTGCAGTTCATCCCAGAGGTCAGGGATCTGTGCAGGTCACTCAGGATCCTCCACACCAAACTCATCAAACCACATCTTCATGGAGCTGGCTTTGAGCACAGAGAAACAGAACCTTCCCCAAAATGTTACCACAAGGTTGTCTACAATGTCTTTGTATGTCTGTAGCACTACCAGTACCCTTCAGTGGAACCACCTGAACTCAATAATTTGTAGGGAGGTCAACATTCTTTAGGCTATAAAGTAGGTGTGATGGTCATGTGCCCTCAACCTTTTGGCCATAGAACAGGGTAGCCAACCTTCGGCCCTCCAGCTGTGATTAAATTATAAATGCCAATAGGCGTTGCAAGACTCTTACAGCCACAGACATGGCTCCCAGAGGCAGATTTGTAGTTTCACTACAGCTGGAGGGCCAGACTTTGGCTACCCCTGCTATAGAGTGTACAGTATCTGTCTCTCCAGAGATGTTTTTAGACATTGGTCACACAAAATGATTAAAAAAAAATGTTTTGTGTGCTAACCTATTTCCTTTAAATTGGAGCACATGCAAGCTTCTCTTTAGTTATTTTTGTCTACTTGGAACTTTGTTTAGGGAATTGCGTAATTCTGATATTAAAAAAACCCTGCACAAATTTCCCTTATGAAAAGTCACAAGTTCACCACAATCCATCCCCAGATTGGATATGGGCTGACCGCTCTGTGACTTCTCCTACAAATATTAACTCAGCCAGGAGATAAGAGAGCGGCTAACTGATAGCCCCATTTTGTGATGTGATTAATACTGGCGGCAGTACTGCAGTCCAATAGGACCTTTAGCGTCGTTAGCGTTGTGTTGACTCACACACATAGGCTGCCATCTGCGACAGCTGTGTCAATTTGTTTCTTTGTCAGAGAGGGTAAGTATGACTGCTCCTACACAGAAGAAATATTCTGTAATCAAACATTGCTGGGGAGCCAATACGATTTATGGTTTGGTGTCAGTGCTTAGCCCTGGACACCTCAAGGGAAAGTTTAATATTTTGCATCTAATATCTGGAATGACGCAGATCCCAGCATGGCACAGCCTGGTGTCAAACGCTTCTCATCTGACTTATTTCTCATGAATATCTTTGGACAGCGGTGAAACCTCATGCTTGTTCCCTAACAGCAGTCCAGCTGCTGCTCCAATATGTTTGCGCCCTGGCTTCTGCTGATGAGTTTCATTTAAAGGGAAGCTATAATGTGTCTTTGCTCAGAGCACATTTGGTGTAATTGCTGCCAAATTTACCTTGAAGTCATTTATTATGTGTTATAGATGTTGGATCACCATTCTCTGGTCCCGCATAACTGGATCTGGAGTGTAAGTCCCCGGTCAGATTTGCGCGTCTGCATTTTCATGCACTTTTGCAGCTCATTTTTATTGAGAGTTTTTCATGCCTTCAGCCTTTTTAATACTTTTTATGCATTCTACTTCAAGGCTGGACAATTCCCAGGAACCAGATAGCCAATGCTTCCTAAAAATGACAGCTGGCACCCAACTTTTGAGGTTTTCTCTAGTTGTCAATGGAGCTGGCTCCTGGTTTGGACAGAATGGCTCCTGAATTCTGTATTCATTTGTCCACTCCTGTTCTACATTAACCTGTAACTGATCTCATCAATTTATCTGCAAGGCTGCTGTTTGCAGTGTCTTATATTCAGATTTGATAAGTAAGTAAATGAAAACGCTAAAGAAGAACTCCAGGTACAGAAATCCTTACCAATGCAGTGGGGCTACCCCCGCACTGCAAGGGTTAATTGCTCATTGTATTTAGGGGGCTCAAATAAAGCTGTATCACCCACCTGATCCTTGGTCCCGCAGTGTTCGGCCCTCGCCTCTCTCCCTCTCCGCTCCAACTATAGAATATCTCTTGGCTTCCTCACATCTAATGCAGATCAATAGACCTGCATAACACGCGATGACGTCAGTGGTCCCTAAACGGCCGGAGCCTGGGGGAAAAAGAGACTGTGGGGACTGGTCTGGCAGTCCTGCGGGACCAAGGATCAGGTAAGTAAATCTACTTTATTTTCGCCCCTAGACCAAAACGAGCAGTTAACCCTTGCAGTGCAGGGGTAGCCCCACTGCAAGGGTAAGTTTTTAGTTTGCCCAGAGTTCTTTATATTGTCAAAGGCATATTTCACCTTTTGCAATAAAATTAATAAACGCACCCACACCGATAAAAGAACAAAATGTGCATTCATTGTTTTGCATTGGAGCCTACAAGCGGATCATGGACGCAATGCAGAGGCTCCTGCAGTCTATTCCTCCAGCCCCAGGTATGTATTGAAGTACGGACCTTCTGGTGTAGGGAGGAGTAAGCAATAAATGCACTACAAGTACGGTGTCGTCCATTGAGATCTACGGGGCCTACTGCGGCAGTGGCAGATGTGAATTATGGTCTCTCCATACACAGATCCTGTGAATGGATGATGTAGCTGTGCGGGTGCCGTATCAAATCCTGGGTTCACAAATGATAATGCTTTATGTTACACCCTAAATATGGAAACGTGGTCACAAAGCCGGACTTAACCTTTTAATTACTTTCAGGAATGTTACAGTAAAGCCTTAAAATGCGTTGTCTTAAAGCATACGACGTCCCCTTTAAACAACTACCTTGTGCTACAGCAAGCAGCAACATTTCAGTATTAAACCTTTTGAATGAGGTTTGTTTCCTATATAACAATGCTGCATCTAGTTGCAGGGCAGTAGATGTGTCAGTCCTCTTATATTGCTCAGAGTCACACAAGACCTTATGTTATTATTATTATTATTATACAGGATTTATATAGCGCCATCAGTTTGCACAGCGCTTTACAATATAAGGAACAATATAATTACATTCACAATACAATTCAAGTCAAGACAAGATGGTAAGGAGGGCTCTGCCCCTGAGGGCGGGACAGCATTATGTCTGTGTTTGGACCTTGAAAGCCACTTAGCCATCTGGCTATCAATGATATACAAAGATAAACAAAACAAAACATTCCGTTAATAGCTAAACACAGATCTGTGCTCTGTACTGTACAATGGGAGACCCCGGTGAAAGAACATTTACAGGTTAAACCAGATCTAGGAGTGCCCCCTCCCCACACACTGATGGAGGGATAAGCGACCCAGGCTGGAGATACGGAAACATGTGCAATAACCATTGCCAAAATGACGGCCTTCGGGGTAAATGACAACCGGCCTTTAAGTGGAGCCTTGCTTGTAATTATTATCATTAGAGAATTGGATACACAGTTTGCCATGTTGGAACAAGAATTAAGTTTATGGGTCTGCTAATTATGCAAATGTCCTATATCTAGGCCTCGTTTGTCACCATTCCAGTGCTAGCATGCAACCACGAATCCTGTTTTACAAAAGCCAAGTTTTTCACATTTTTTTTCTTTATATTTATGGGTTTATTAATTCGCAACTTTTTTTACGTTTTGGATAGAGCAAAGAAGAGTTACAACTTCTGCCAGTTTTTACCTATTGTCTGTGTCCGCATTAGGAAGATTTTTTTTCTGTTCCAATGACAGAATAAAAGGGGTCACCAAAAACAAAAATGTTTTTTTTTTTCTTACTGCTTCCGATAATTTTGATTCTGCAGTGAGAGGGATAGAAAGCAGGTAAGTAGGAGGGTCCAGGATTGAGTCCTTTGGGACATGGACATGATAAGAGTTGCTCTTATCATGTCCATGTCAGCCTTATCAGCCTTTTTTTCAATTCAGCTTTGAGCTGCCCATATACCAGTAGAATTTAATTTGAAAGAATATGCTTTCAGGGCGTTTTTTCGTTTCTCTAATTGGGGTCATATTGATATTAGTTTTCAACCGTAATGAGGAAAAAAGTGAAGGAGAGGGATGGAAGATTTTCTCAAACAAAATTCTAACAGTGAATGTGGTTTCTGTTCAAGAAACTCCATTCCAATGGCGCTTGTCAAGTCTTTGATGGCAATATCTAACGTTCCGAGAAGATTTTTTTGTATGTATTTTTTTGTATGGCCAGCTTGAAGTGCAACTGAAGCCAAAGCATTTGTTTTTTTAGTTTTGGATGGAGTGGAGAGGAATTAGAACACCTGTCAGGTTTCTATTGCTGTCTCTATCACCATTTTGGAGATTCACACTCTCTGTATGTAGTGGTGAATATTATCACTGACAGTGAAAAAAAAATCCCTAGCTTTGGTTGTCATTAGAATAGGAATAGATGAGAAATCTTCCAATGGGGACACTAGTTCTGGTGACCCTGCTGACGACCAGGGATTTCCCTTTTTCTCCCTCATTTTCTGTTGTGGCTATTGGACAGGAAGTGAAGGGAAATCTCCCCAGTGGGACACATGTGGCAAAAAAAGCTGACGGGGGTTATTATAACCCTCCCTTACTCTACCCAAACCTGAAATAAAAAAGAACGTCAGGTAACATTTTTTTTGACCCTTGCAGTGGGGCTACTCCTGCACTGCAAGGTTTAAGTGCTCATTTTGGTCTAGGTACAAAAATAAAAAAAGTTATGCTCACCAGATGCTCGGAGCCTGCTGGCTCCTACAGTGCTCCCTCCAGCCTGCTTCCTCCTCCACTGCAGCAATGATATGTCTCTTGGCGTCATATACACTGTGTATAGAACGTGATGACCCACAGGACCTTAGACCACTGCAGCGGAGGGGGAGAGCGGCTACAGGTCCAAAACAAGCCGCCTCAGAGGGTCGGGTGAGCATAACTTTTTTATTTTTGCACCTAGAACAAAACAAGCACTTAACTCTTGCAGTGCGGGGGTAGTCCCACTGCAAGGGTTAGGAAATATTTTCCTTGGAGTTCTTCTTTAAGTTGCCTTTGTTCTTATAACTTCATGGAGGAACAAGGAAATCTTGTAATATGACTTTGCAGGTTGACCTGAAACTTGCTCATTGGGTCTCATTCTGGACTTTAGATTGTCAATATGCATTTAATGACAGTCAAAACCAGAGCAGGAATATATATTTCCTGAATTTAGAGCGTGATCTGGAAATGCATCCTCGGCATCTGGGAAGATAATTGCATTTGTCTGTGATGTGTCTCCTAATTTCTTCATCTGCTTTCTTTTTCTTTGTAAATATATATTTCCTTAGATCTCATTTTGAATGCTGAGTGCCCAGAGGCACCAAGTGCAGAACCGAAACTGTCGTAGTTCCATGCTTAATTCCGAAACTTGCGGAGAAAAGGAATTAAAGTGACATTAAAATTGGACCCTTTATTGGCTTCTTGATGACATTTTTATTAGCTTTGTCCTCCTCTTCAGCTGTATATTTAACAGCGTGACTCCCACTGGCGGTGGGGGAACGATTGTTGTCCTATTAAACTGTTCCCCCCAAGTGAGGAGGACTGCTGCCTAGCAACTGTTTTGGCGTTGAACAGATCTCATATTTACCTAGAAATCTGCCCATCTATTGCTGTGATAATAAGGAATGTGTTTAAAGAGAACCGGTCATGACTTATATTATGCAAAAGTCTGATGATTCAGTCAATTGTGCAATTAAGTCAATTAAGATACAAAAAAAGCCTACCTGCACTTTCACATATGTGTGTTACAGAGCACTAAAGTGCAGATGCACTGGTCAACTGAATTCGTGCAGTGGTGTACCATTGTGATTGAAAGGCATCCCAATGGCACTTTCAAATACATGTGTTGCAGAGCACTACAGTGTAGTTGCGTTGGTCAACTGAATACGTACATTGGGCTACCATTATGGTTGAAAGGCACCCCAATGGCACTTTCACATACATGTGTTGCAGAGCGCTAAAGTGCAAGTGTGTTGGTCTACTAAATATGTGCATTGGGGTGCCATTATGAATGAATGGCAATGCACCGCAGTACAGCACACACAGTTCAGTAATGTGCATTGTAATAACATGCATTGCTTCAAGGCGCATCAATGTGAATCCAGCCTAAATTATTAATCATTTGTAGCTGAAGATACAAAAAAGGTCACCCTGACCCTAGCTCATTATTGAAAGTTTATTATATCCCTTAAGTAGCTTAATAATGCTCCCCGTCACAAGGACATACATTGACGTTGAGGCAGCCTGCAAGAAAGAAGGAAGATACTCACCTGTTGACTTCATTCTTTAAGCTGGCCATACACTATGCGAATTTCAGCCAGTTCTTGATGTACCAGCCAAAATTTGCACAGTAGTTGCCTTTGTTCGCACCCTTTCAGGCAGCATCCCTCAATCAGCTAATTGAAGGAGATGGTCGGAAAATCTTTGAATGAACAGAGCCGACTCTGAATGGGTCATATCGCACGTCCTCCACTGCATGCTGTGGTTCCATTGTGTCCTATAGTGATGTAGAGGCTGCCAGGTGGAAGAACAGTGGACATGATAGTCAATTCAACTTTTATAATAATTTATATCATGGATCCATTTTGTTTAGTCCTACATTCCCTGATTGATCACACATCCTAAGTCCCAGGCATGTGGTCTCCAGGGACATTTGGTACAGACGTGCTGAACTCTGGAATTGTCCAAACCATGACCTTTAATGGGATCATCAAAGGTCATAAAACATTCTCTTGAAGTCAGCTGTCAGACGTGATCTGTGTTATTTTGATGCCTGATGGAATTTCAAGGATGTGTGTGGGGGGTGGGTGAAGAGTATCTGACACTGGAGGAACTCTGCAAATCTCAGACACCCCCATACCATTCATAGAATGAGGAATGTTTAGAAAATCACCTTTTGTATCCATTAAAAGGCCCACCGTGACTTTCCTGACTTTCCTTACAAACCTTCCCACTTTTACACTTCACGGCAACAACAAAGTAATTAATAAGGAAACAATTAAAGAAAATAATGTATAATGAAGTCTGCAAAACTTCAGAGGTTGGGTTAAGTTGTTATCTGTAATTAAACATCTTTGGCGTGGGTGGAGTACGATAACTGATATAAGTTTTGTTTGTCAAAGGCATAAATCGTACCCTGGAGTGTGCTGCAGCCTGGCTCACCTACAGCAGCCCATACAATGCCCACTTTAATCAAATATAAATATTACATTTTGGTTGGATTTGTAACTGAAAACTTGGACAGAGACTGATTTGCAGGAAGCGCCACCTAATGGTCAGAGTAGAACATGACAAGCATTTGGAATCCAAGCAAACAGCTGAATACACAGATGAAATACATATATGAAAGCTGAATTACCTACCAAAGAATCTGTATTTCTGTCTGTTTATTGCTGAAGAGTGCACAGCCCTGTCAGACAGCAATGCCAGCCCGGAGACCTGAGTTTTCTCTGCTGCAGTTAATCAATACAACCATGGTCCTGTCCTTCCCCCAGCCTGTGATTGGACTCTGAAGGAGAAGCAGCAGACTCATGAACACATCTCCTTGTCACTCTCCTCTCCTGTATGCATGTTCCTGATTAGCACATGAGCACTGCAGTAGAACGGATTGGCTGCTAGTGCTGCTTCTTCCCCTTCCAGCGTAAGCTCTGCTGTACGGGGGTTGAAAGAGGTTTATAAATAGGTACTAACACTACTCACTTTTAAAATACACGTCATTGTTATGATTATTATTATACATGATTTATATAATGCTAACAGTTTGCGCAGCGCTTTACAATGTAGGGAAGATATTACAATACAACTCAAGACAAAATGGTTGGGAGGGCTCTGACTATGAGAGCTTACAATCTAAAATGACCTCTCATGAAAATATATAGACTACTACTGCTGATGTTTGAATATGCTACCTGCCTGGCTGTCATGCTGATCCTTCCTGCTTGACTAACTGAGAACAAGCATACAGATAAAGACTGTTGACTTTTCCCTGACCTTGCCGATCTGCATACTCAATTTATAATTATAACTGGATTAAAGGCTGACTTTTCTGTTTCAACCATATTAACATGTTCCAACCCCAAAAATGATGATATAGTGAATCTGATCAATCTGGGGTTGATTTACTAAAGGCAAATAGGCAAAATTCACTGGGCAAGGGAATTATGCCTTTAGCTTTGTGAATGGAGGTGAAGCTCTGCTGACTTCCATATAGCTATATGATGTGAAAGCAATCGAGTCAATAAACCGTTTTTGACTTTAAATTCTATTGGAGTGCGAGTGACTTTATACATATACTTATTCTAGCTAATAGGGGACAACTGGAAGCTCCAGAAAGCTGGTTGCTTCTACTGTTTGTAGGCAAGATGTCAAAATGTCACAATATACGGGTAGAATATACAGCCCCTAACACACTTCATTTTATGGTTCCATAAAATGTGTGCTCTTTGCTTCCTAGAGATTATATAAGTTCAAATCTATAAGACCTGTTATAAAACTCTGTTAAGGACAGCGCTGAATATAGGACAATTGTCTACTGTTGACAGCAGCTCCATGTGATGAGTTTCAGCTAGCTCCACTTGCAAGGGATTAACATCACCCTATAAACTCAGATGCTAAGAAAATAACTGCATATCTGGACATGTTATAGAGAACTGGTCCAGGCACATGATTTCATAACTATACAAGTAACAATGAACTTCATGGTTAACTTGTACTAAACCAATGCTTTGGCAACGTTGATCAGTCATGCAGCATAATCACGGTCTTTGCTGTGTCCAAGTATTCTTTAAGATTTTCACATGAACTACCCATCAACTTGAATTAAATTACCCATCAACTTGAATTAAATTACCCATCAACTTGAATTAAATTACCCATCAACTTGAATTAAATTACCCATCAACTTGAATTAAAAAAAGTAAATTTGAATTAGATAAAAAGGCTCTTAATGTGTAGTCTGGACCAGAAACTTGCCCACAGTTTCTTTTTCCTCTCCAGGATGGCTCTGGAGTCTACAAAAGCAGTCAATGTATTAAATCAACAGGCTTCTTCTAGTACCTAACACTGGGAGCCATCACTAGAGAGAACATTGTCTATATTTTGTCCTATGCATATTCTTCCACAAGACCTGACGATAAATCCTGAACCTTGCTCAATACAACCCTTATGAAAACAAGCCTTTCTAATGACAGGGTGTAGGTACATCAATCTCTCCATTTGCCTCATGTATACTGTGTATATCAGTATTTTGTATTCACAGCAACACTGGGGTAAATGGGAGGGGCTTTTCAGAAAGAGATGGGGGATTTGTACCGCAGCAGAGTTGTTATGTATTTAAAACATTGGTCAAATGCACCAAAAACACAAGCCATGGAGCAGTACAATTTGGATGACCTGTAAAATATCATGACAATTCAAACATTTAGTGATGTGTGCTCACCCTAGCAAATGGTGCAGGTTCTATGTCTGGCACAAAACAAGTATATTATATGATGCAGGTCAGAACCAACACTTTCATACATAGGACTGAATGACCTAAGCATGAAATTAAACCACCAGGTCAAGTCAACTTTGTCCACCTAGGCGTGGATCTGTGTGCAAATTGAGTGTTCATTCAATCTGTTTGTGGCCCCTTATAGCACCATGCTGTGTATTTTTGAGATCATGGTATGTTTGTGAAAACATGCATGCGTTGATATACATGGCTTGATAGTTATAGTAGACAAATGCATGTCCACTCCCACTCTGGCAGCTTCCATTGTACGCAGACAACAGGTGCTCTTTAAAAGGTTTAATTATGTAATTCGCTTCCCCCTGTGTTTTCAGATACACAAAGCTCTTTTTCAGCTAGATTTAGCCACAAATTTCATTTCCAGTCTGATTGGAACATAAATCTCTGTCTGGAATTTCTTAGTACTTAAAAGACATGCCTAGAGCCCTTTCCATTCATCTATATTTAGATTACAGACAGAGTTCCATTTCGGTTGAAAAGGTGATATTGTTGCAGCCCACTGGGATAAACAGTATGTTTCGTCTATAGCATATAAAGTCAGCCAAGCAGATGGTCATGGATAATGCCAGTCAATATCATAAAGTTTAAAACACCCATAAAATACAGTTTATACATTCCATAGGGACCTCAGGCTTTGCTGAGTTGTGTATGTTTAGGTGGATTGTTTTTGCACCAGAGATAATGGCGCTTCACACCTCATAAGCAAATATAAAGTATGTAGCATATTATCTTAATTGTTCTGCCAAATGCCTTTCCATCTCCAACAATTAAGAACTTGTTTTTTCCCACCATTGGATGCTACCACTAAGCTTTCAAGAAAAATTAACTTGTGTCATTCTTTTCTCTTCTGCAGGTCCGAATTTTCATCAACCAGCTGTACCAGCCACCCATAGAGAAGGATATATCCAGCAATTTAGATCTGAAGGCCATCCGGATTGCCTCTGTGAACCCCATCTTGGATCCGTGGATCTATATCCTCCTTCGGAAGACTGTCTTAAGCAAAGTGATCGAGAGAATCAAGTGTCTGTTTTGTAGGATTGGCGGTGGCAGACGACCACGCTCTGCGGGAAGTTTCAATTGCACAGACGGCAGGAGGGCCTCTTCGGCCTTATCTAGCCATTCTCCTTCCTTTGTTTCCAGGGAGTTGCGAGAAGTTAGTTCAACATCACAGACTTTACTGTACCCTCTCGAACTGAGTGATGGTAGCTTCAGAAGCAGCACTGTTTTACCAGGAGCCACCATGGCCATCAATCTTCCTGGGGCTCCAGACAGGACGTTACGTGGCTCTGACCAGTCAGTTTCATCTCAGGGTCCAGATTCTGAGCAGGTACTGCTTGTAAATGAGACTTGCCCCACAAGAGTCACTCAGAATGGCAACTCACCCAAGGGAAATTCGCTTCACGTCACTTTTCCAGATGAAACATTTGTATCAGAAAAGTGTATATAGTGACTTTGGGTCCTGCAGTTGCACAATCAGCTCTTAGTAAATGTACTATTGGCTGACAGTATGAACACAATATGCCCCTTCTTACAAGGACATAGTCATGTTGCAAGAACTCCAAGCCTTCTTTAAGTGGTACTCTAGATTGAACCTTTCTGAAGGCTGTTAAAAGACTGGAGAGCATACAATGGAAGAAAAGTGTGTAGCTAATTGAAAACATCATTTCTGTGTGTTCTTACTTTCCTAATATTTTTCTACCTTCTACTGGCACTTTTGAAGACTGAATGGGTCAACTTTCATTGGAAGTTGCCTACTTTTTGAGGGACAGAAGAGCAAGTGTCTTATGACTCCCCCCTTTCACCACAAACACTTTTTCCTTGACAAATCAAGTTTGTCCGACAGATGATGAATGTCAACATGTCTAGCTAAGCTTTAAATAATGTGAATTTTAATGGATGACTATATGTGTGTGTATATGGGATCATTAGTGTATTTATTGTCTTCTCTGTGAGAAGGTATCTTGTTTTAATTGTCTAGTAAAAGAGGTAATATCTTCCTTTTTTTGAAAATATTGCCAGGGAGCTTTTATTTTAATGTTGTAATACAATTTTGCACTAAATTGACACTTATGGCATATGCATTGACAGTTATGGCCAGTTAAGGAGTTTGTGCAGGTCAACACTGAAAAAGGGATTTCAAATATTCTTTCTGTAGGCACTAGGAGTAAAGATGGTGGAAAATAAAGGCCATCTGTAGCCTTTTGACATGAATGGTGTACATTTTGTTTTACAGGAATGCTATAATAAAACTAGGGCAAAAGTACCATCCAACCTAACATAACATAACTAAAGCAACTATTTTCCCCCACTAGCATTACACTTGGGTTCCATCAAATAGACCATCTATGGTATGAGAACATCTAGTACTGATGTGCCTAACCCTTTACTAGATGTCTGATCCACTGAAGTCTGTGAGAAAGTTGATACTCAGGAAACTGGGCTGGGGTTCCTGTTAGGTTTGGACTTTAAAGAGGTTCTTCAGGAAAACTTAAACTTCCCCCACTTTCACAGAGAAGAGGTATATTAAATGTTTTACAAACTCCAGGTCAATAACTTAATTTCACAGCAGAAAGCTTTGTGAAATCTAAGCCTTGTGAAAATTAGCTATGGTATAAGGACTGATAGATAGGGGTGGTGCTGGAATGAATACTAATAGAAGTGAAAGGTTATCGTTGAAAGGAACCTGCATAACAACCAGTCCGATTCTGGCTAGCTTCAAATAAGGGTTTAGTCTTAACACAGCCCTTTGCTATAGAAGTTGACCTAGGGTCTTTAAATCAATGAATACCCCTCCTCTCATGGAAAGAGTTTAATTAATTATGGGAAATCTTTTACCTTGGTGGAAGAGAGGTGCAGGTGTGTACTTCATTAATTTTAAAAGGGTCCTACAAACTACAACTGTGTTGGGTACCCTTGGTAATAATTTGACAAAAGCTATCTTTTTTTGGCATTGGACCCTCTTATTTGTTTATATACCTTGTTGGCCACCATGTATTAGTTGTTTCCCATATCAGAGCTATATAAATGCCCAGGCAAGCAAACTGCAAATGGAAATGTGAGAAATAAGTATTATAATTCTACAAGAAACCAGACAAGTTCTAATTGAGGGCCAGGTGTCAGTTCTGCAAAATATCACAATATTTGATTTAGTCTCATTTACAAATGATAAAATATTAGAATACATTTTCTAAACTTTTCAGCTTTCAAAATCTTTTAAAGCAGTATTCCATGTGGATATAAATGACAAATGCAGCTCCCTATCTATTAAGTCATCATTAAATATATGTATTTTTTTAAAATAAAAGGGACCCTACAACCAAAAATTCACCAGTGCAAGGTGCCTGACCCTAGGACCTCACATTTAAAACCCTAGTAGTTAAAAGTCTAAGAGCTTTACATTATTGTAGATAACCTTTTAAATAAAGAAAAAAAAATGTTTATTTCAAGCAGATGCAGTAGGGTGAGGGTGCTCTCCGCACACCTTTCAGCAATCCCGGCCAGTACACAGGGATGGTGCTTGCAGTAACTCCATGGATGGCACCGTGCAAAACGAACAGTCGACGAAAAAGGTCACCAGCACTGAGTGCTGGTGACCTTTTTCGTCGACTATTTCAAGCAGATGAGACCTTTCAGCAGCGGAATTGAAAGGGACAAGTACAGTGTAATAAGTAAAAAGGTGTACTTGTAGCTGGGAGGAAATATATTTTTTTGTATTCGTGTACACTAAGGAGCATACACATTGTTTTTGGTGCATTAAAACAATCCATGAAGGCGAGATTTACTGGCTTATTTCTATTTCTACATTATGTGTGAAAATGTGTGACCACAAAATTTGTGCAAAAAAATAAAGTGATCAAACCGTTGCTCGATATTTTATCATTATCATATTGTGAAAAGAATTGAGACGCTGTTATAGTATTTTATAGGCATAATATGCAAAGTACTACCCACTGGCCTGAAGTACACCATTTACCTAAGAACCCAACAGAGGAGACATTTTGTCGGTTGAGGCACCTTGGAAGAAGAAGCTGCTGGACCAATAATTAAGGAAAGATACTCTTTCGGTCTACAAGGAAATGGACACAGATTGTTGTATTCAATAAAGTAATGCAAACATCGACCTTAGGTTGGTGGCTATGTGGTAGCCAACATAGCCGCCAACATCAGTTTACCTTTAAACCACTGTGGTCTTTTTCAAGAATTACAGTGAGGTATATAAGCAAAGAGCAGTTACCCATTGCAGCCGTGAATAGTAAAGTGTATTTAAACTCAAAATTCAAAGTGTGGTAGATCACCCTTCATTAGCTTTGGTCAGTGTATTGGTTTCTTGCCTACTGGACTGCTTTTCCTTTAATTGTATCTGGTTATCCTGCTAATAACAGACTTATTAGCAACCTCCTGTTCTGGGTGACAATGATCCCTTAGTGCCTGCCTATGCAGAAACAGCATTGCCACCCTAGGATGTGTTCCCCCCGATGTGGACTACAGGCTCATTTGCGCAGTACGACTCCATTGTCAGCCTGAGTCCCTGCTGATGCACACCTCTACAGAAATAGCACAAAGATATGTAGTCCAGGAAAAGCTGGCCACATCATTCTCAAGAAACATAAACCTGCAATCTGATTGGTTGCTTTTGATTTCTGCCTTCGCAATTGGTCTGTTTGCAATGCTTATTTGAATAAGCCTATAGATTGTTAAAGTAGCCCTAGACCCGGGTCATTATGAAGACACAGGCTGCAATATGGCCATCCCATCCTCACCCTATCAGTCTACTTTTATAATATACATACTAGAAGGGTTGGTGGTCTAGTTTTAAAAGAAAGCCCCTTTTAAGTAACCGTTTACACTTCAGCTTTTTCATTCCTGGTGTATTGAATTTCCACCAATTTTCATTGATTTTAGATTAGAGCCTATGGTAGAACAAGTGTCTCCTCGTCTTCACCTATCATTCAGCTGAACTGAGCCCTTACTGTTTTTTTGGTTGGCGTGTTTAGTAATCCTGCACTGGGAGTACTAAGGGAATTCCATCAAGCAAGCATGTTCTGTCTGTGGCCATGTGACTTGCTTTATTGTAATTGCAATCTGAATCTGTATTTGTAAAACCATTGTATTGACAGATAGTTTGTTTTTTGGGGGCTTCGGGGGAAAGCGGGGAAACACAATAAAATTATATTGTCGAACTATTTGTGTTTGCGTATTTTGTACAGCTAAAGATTGTTGTCTAAAAATAGAGGTATCTGGATATCATTACTTATTGACATCTCAGAACACCAAAGGGATTTATTATTATTTAAAGTCCAATTGAAGTCTCATACCTTTTAATCTCTGTATACTACTGTAACCCAACATTATGATGTGTGACTGCTTTTGGCTTGGACATGCTTTAAAATACCTTTTACTGTCAGTGAAGATGCTGTTTTCAGCTCCCGTGGTTGGAGTGCTGTGGTTGGAATGGACCAAAATTGATCTATTTGGCATTAATTTGACTCACTGTGTTTGGAGGATGAAAAATGCTGACTATGACCCTAAGAACACCATTCCTACAGTCAAGCACAGCGGTGGAAACATTATGCTTTGGGGCTGTCTCTCTGCTAAATGTACAGGCCGACTTTGCTGCATTTAGGGGACAATGGACAGAGCCATGTATTGTAAAATCTTGGATGAGAATCTCCTTCCCTCAGCCAGAACACTGAAAATGGGTCATGGATGGGTCTTTCAGCATGATGACCCAAGACACACCGCCAAGGCAACAAAGCAGTGGCTCAAGAAGAAGCACATTAAGGCCATGGAGTGGCCAAGCCAGTCTCCAGACCTTAATCCTTAAGAAAATGTATATAGAGAGCTGAAACTTCGAGTTGCCAAGCGACAGCTAAGAAACATTAAGGATTTAGAGAAGATCTTTAAAGAAGAGTGGACCAAAATCCCTCCTGAGATGAGTGCAAACCTGGTAACCAACTCCAATAAACATCTTACCTCTGTGCTTGCCAACAAGTATTTCTCCACCAAGCATTAAGTCATGTTTTGCTTGGGTATCAAATACTTATTTTACTCACTGAACTGCAACTCAATTTAGAACATTTGTATCATGTGTTTTTTCTGGATTTTTGGTTGATATTCTGTCTCTATCATTTAAAATACACATATGATAAAAATTATAGACCTTTCATTTCTTTGTAAGTGGGCAAACTTACAAAATCTGCAAAGGATCAAAAAATTATTTTCCCCACTCTATATATATACGTCAATGTCATTCAGAAAAATAAGTTCCACACAATTGTTATATTTATTCATAAAATAGAACATTTTGATCACCGTAACATAACCAATGCATGTAACTCATGTATCTTATTATTAATTGAGGCTAATATGAACATTTTATGAAAATCATTAAAACCTACATTTATATTTTTATATTTAAAGCTGACGTCTATACAATCCACCTGTAGCACTTCACTTATGTAATTATTAGCAGTATTTGCTCCATGTTGAAATGTCCTCCATTGATAGACTGTCAGCAGTGAAGGGTTTTCAGAACTAATGGAAATGTCAAGCCCTCAAAAAAAAAAAGTCATTTTTTTGTATATCTAAAAGAGGAACACGTGAGAACCCCTCACCAGATATCTGTCAGGAGCCAGCAGCTGGTCCCGTTCACCATTGCCCACTCTTTATCTTCTGTTTGCACAAGTTTATTATAATGTCAGTTTCATTTATGGAAGCACAAAAAAAATCGCAAGCAGCCATCACAAATAGATACAATAAAGGTTAAAAATATAAAGTAGAATAATGAGGCTGTTTATGACGACATAGATACATTGTATGGAAACGTGAGGCCTACGTGAAGATAGGCAGCCATGGCGTGCGAAGGCTGTGTCTTAGTCATGGGCTCCTATTGACATACTCACAGCATCAACCCCAGTTGTTTTTCCATATTCTTCTACAAACGGTTGGGAGGACCTATGCTATATGGCATACTACAGGAAAAAAGAATAGAGTTTAAAGGGTATTCATGCAGCACCCTTATGGGGGAGTTCCAGATAATAATGTTGTTTTAAGGCCCAAATGAACTATCAGGTTAAATCAGCTACATGCATTTCAGATGCATCGACACAAAAGCTGTGCAAAGTCTTACAGGTCATTTTATTTAGAAAGCAGCCACAGCCAAAGTAGAAAAGCCTGTGCCCGGCCAGCAGGCTGCATTGATCATTGGTCTCTGTGCGGAAGCAGTGGTCTCTCTGCAGAGGTAAAAAATAAC